CCCCATTCTACTGTGCTTCGCTTTATGGCACTTCGCAGATACTGTGTTTTTTTACAAATCGAAGGTCTGTGGCAACCCTGCCTCCAGCAAATCAGTCCGCGCCATTTTCCCCACAGCATTTGCTCACTTTGTGTCCTGGTGTCACATTTTGGTAGTTCTGGCAATCTCTTAAACTTTATTATTATTTTTATATCCGTGGTCAGTAATCTTTGATGTTACTGTTGTAATTGTTTGGGGGAGCCATGAACTGCCCCCACGTAAGATGGCAAACTTACTCGATTGTTGAGATGACAGCGAGGGATTTAGAGCACTGTGTAAACTTAGTTGACAAAGGGGTGGCAGGTTTTGAGAGGACTGACTCCAATTTTGAAAGACGTTCTGCTGTGGGTAAAATACTGTAAAACAGCGTTGCACACTACAGAGAAATCGGTCATGGAAGGAGGAGTCAATCAGTGCAGCAAATTCATTGTCTTATTTTAAGAAATTACCACGACCACCCCAACGTTCACCAATCCCCCCGATCGGTCAGCAGCCAACCCCCTTCTAGGCCAGACTCTCCACCAGCGAAAGTATTACGAGCGGCTGGAGGCTCAGGTGATGGTTCACATTAACAGTAACGTATTTTTTAATTCAGGTATGCCCATCAGTTTTTTTTTTTTAAAGACATGGTGCTGTTGAACACTTAATAGACCACAGTGTAGCATGAACACCACTTTTCTGTGCGCCTTGAAACCGAAAACCCACGTGACTTGCGGCATTGTGACACTCGCTTTACGGCGGTGTTCTGGGGCTGACCACGCCGTCTCCGAGGTCTTCCTGTGTTTTAGGAAGATAGTTGTTTGTCACTAGTTGAAGTGAGCACATCCAGCTGCTCACCGTGAACACTACTGTGAACCCTGGCCACCACGCACCCGAGCCTGAGTCTCCCTCCGAGGCCCCAGACCAGGCTCTTCCCCTCTGAGAGGGTGTTGTCTCCTGCTTTCCAGCTGCTCAGGCCAAAACCTTGGAGTCACCCTGGACTCTTCTCTCAGATTTCACAGTCAAACCATCAGGAAATCTTGCAGCTACCACTTCGAAATTGTGAACCCAGAATCAGAGCACCCCATCCCCTCCTCTGCCTCCGTGAGCTGGGTTTCTGCAGCTCCTCCAGCTGGTCTCTCTCTCTCTCTGCCCTTTGGCTTTCTCACCCACGTGCTCTCATTCCATTCCAGCCTCCTCACTGTCCCTCTCATACCCCGGGGCCTTTGCACAGACCACTTCATCTCCCTGGAACACACTTCCCTTTATGGCTGCGTGGCTCGACTTCTCTCCTCCTCCAAGTGTTTGCTCAAAGGTCCCCTTTCTCTGTAAGTTCTCTCCTTGTGAAGGAAAAACCGGGCTGGTCTAACAAGATAACTCACAATTCTAGGAATGTGAAGGAGAGACTGGGCTAGGCTAACAAGATAACTCACAAATCCAAGTATTGGAATACTGATCTGAGTTCTGCTAGACTAACTTGTAAATCTAGGTTAATTAGTGTTGGTTTCCTGTTCATGTTTTTT